CCAGATACTTATTCAGCCCATGGCCTCATTTGAACTTTTAACCCAGCCAGGAATAGCTCTTACCTCATTTTATGGACAAGGTCACTGAGGCTCAGAGAGGTTAATTGAGTCATTAGGCTTTACAGGTAACCCTAGGAGCACTTGGAGATCTCATTTCTAGTTTCCTACCCTTTCCATTCCATCCCACTGCCCGATTTGGTCAGATGGCCTCATCCACCAAGCTGGCTGGCAATTTGTGAGTGACATAAATAAAATGACAATTGGGAATCATAAGAAAAGACCAAAAATGTGAGCTTTCTTCTTCACTTTCTTTTTAAGTTGCATCCCATTAACATCAACTATCAAAGCAGTATATACAAATCTCAGAGTCTTGAACCAATTTTTAAACATTATATTAAAGAATAATACATATAAAGGAAAATGCCCCAAAAGATATGGAACAATTAATTTTTACACAATGAACCAGCACCTAGATCAGAAACAAAATATGCCGAAACCGGTTTGGCTCAGTGGATAGAGTGTCGGCCTGTGGACTCAAGGGTCCCAGGTTTGATTCCAGTCAAGGGCATGTATCTTGGTTGTGGGCACATCCCTGATGGGGGGTGTGCAGGAGGCAGCTGATCGATGATTCTCTCTCATCGATGTTTCTAACTCTCTATCCCTCTCCCTTCCCCTTTATAAAAAAATCAGTAAAATATGTTTGTTTTTTTTTTTTTTAAAGAAACAGTCGAAACCGGTTTGGCTCAGTGGAGAGAGCATCAGCCTGCGGACTGAAAGGTCCCAGCTTCGATTCTGGTCAAGGGCATGTACCTTGGTTGTGGGCACATCCCCAGAAGGGGGTGTGCAGGAGGCAGCTGATTGATGTTTCTCTCTCATTGATGTTTCTAGTTCTCTATCCCTCTTTCTTTCTCTCTGTAAAATATCAATAAAACATATTTTTTAAAAAGAAATAAAACATGGCCAGTCTCTCAGAAACCGCCCCCACCATGCCCTCCAAGGATTCTAACATAATCGAATAGTGTGACCTGTATTTGAAACTTATATAAATGAAATCTTATAAAAGATTGTATATTCTCTTTTGTGTCTGACTTCACTTTAGTAGTGTGTTTTTTGATATTTATCCTTACTGTTGTGTATAATTAGGATTTATTTTTATTTTTATTGCTGGATAGCATCTCATTGTGTGAATATATCTCAATTTACCTGTCCATTCTAGCACTGGTAGGCATTTTGAGTGATTTCCCACTTGGAGTATTATAAATTGTGCAGCCATGAACATTGTAGTAGTGCTTGTCTTTGGTGCACATCAGACACATTTCTGTTGGGTTTATGCTTACATAAGAGTGGAATTGCACAAATCCATAGGGTTATAACACGAATTTTTGAGTTTTGTCTCCATCTCTTTGTATTCCAAGCATATCTTCCATATGCTGCAGCAGTTTCTACAACCACTTTGTAAGGTTCTCCTTTAGGTGAGACCACTGGGAGAGAAATCAGAGAAAAAATCAATTTCTCTGCTTTTTAGTCCTGGACAATTTTAGTTGGTACCAGAGTTTTAAAACTTAACTTTTCCAGACAGATCACTGAAAAACTGGCTGGATTTTGTTATTCAAAACCATCCTTCAGCCAAAACCGGTTTGGCTCAGTGGTAGAGCGTCAGTCTGCAGACTGAAAGATCCCAGGTTCGATTCCGGTCAAGGGCATGTACCTTGGTTGCCAGCACATCCCTGGTAGGGGGTGTGCAAGAGGCAACTGGTCGATGTTTCTCTCTCATCGACGTTTCTAGCTCTCTATCTCTCTCCCTTCCTCTCTGTAAAAAATCAAAAAAATATATTTAAAAAAAAAAAACATCCTTCACATATCCACAAAGAGTTAGCATTTTCTTGTTCTAAAATCTGCATTATCTGATATTTACAGTGCCCACTGCAGCAATCTTCTGATTAGTGTTGGCTGGTAGATCTTTCTTCCATCCTTTTATTTTTTTTAACCTATTTATATAATTATATTTATAGTGGGTATCTTATAGATAGTATATGGCTGAATCTTGGGTTTTTAATGTCATATGGTATGTTTAGAGCATTTACAATTAATGTAATTATTGATTTAGTTGAATTTAGATCTATTGTTTTGGTATTTGTTTTCTGTTTTCCCCCTCTGTTTATTCCCCACCCCTGGTTCCTCTTCTTTCCTGACTGCTTTTTGATTACTGAATATTTTTAGTATTCCATTTAAACCTAACTACTGGTTGTTTGTGTGTGTGTTTTTTGTTGTTGTTGTTTGTTTGTTTTGTTTTGTTTTGTTTTTTGCTCCCTGAATTTCTTTTTTTTAAATTAAATTATTATCTGTGTACATATCTTACCATTGTGTTTGTGTGTTTTTGTTTTCTGTTGTATCTCTCTGTATTACTTTTTTTAGTAGATACTTTGGGAATTTCTGGATACATGTTTAACCTTTCACAGTCTACTTAGAGTTGCTATTATACCACTTCAAGTAAAATGTTGAAGACTTACAAGTATATAGGTCCATTTCCTTGCCTAAGTTTACATTATAATTGTCATATGTAGGACAACTACATACATTGAAACTCCTTTCAACAATCATACATATAATAAAGAACTTAGGAGGAAAAAAGTCTATGCAGTTACCAAGATGGCCATTCCTTGTGCTCTCCCTTCATTCCTGAAGTCCCAAGTTTCCCTGGTATAATTTCCCTTTAACTGGAAAAACTTTTTGTTGTTGTTAATCCTCAACTGAAGATATTTTTCCTTCACCATTTCTTTTAAGTCAATTTCCTGGCAATAAATTCTTAGAGAGTTTCTTTACTGCTGAGAATATCTTTATTTTGCTATAATTCCTAGAAGATATTTTTGCTGGATATAGAATTATGTGTTGACAATTCTTTTCTTTCAACACTCTAAAGATTTTGTTCACTGTCTTCTTACTTCCATGGTTTCTGAGGAGAAAGCTATAGTCATTTAAATCATCAGTTTCTCCATATGTAATGTTCACGCTGATATTAAGATTTTTTATTTTAAGCAGTTTGGTTATTATGTGTGTGGGTATGGTTTTATTTTTATTCGTTTAAAAATATATCTTTATTGATTTCAGAGAGTAAGGGAGAGGGAAAGAAAAATAGAAACATCAATTATGAGAATCTTTGATTGGCTGCCTCCTGAACGTGCCCTACTGGGGATCAAGCCTGTAACCCAAGCATGTGCTCTTGAGTGGAATTAAACCCAGGACCCTTCAGTTCATAGGCTGACACTCTAACCATTGAGCAAAGCCATCTAGGGGTGGGTATGGTTTTAATGAGTTTTGTTTTGTTTTTCCCTTTTAGGGAGTCATGGTGCTTTTTGAATCTCTATGTATTTTTCCACATTTGAGAAATTTTCAGTTATTATTTCTTCAAATACATTTTTCTACAGCAATCTCCCTTCTCAGTGGTGCTCAAATGACACGTTTTCCATTTTTGTATTATTACACAGATTATTGAGGCTCTGTTCATTTTAAAATTTCAATCTTTTTCTTCTCTGTTCGTCAGATTGGATTTCTCCTGTTCTGTCATTAGGTTCACAGACTTTTTCCTCTGTGGTCTCTCTTCTGCTATGAATGTTTTAGTAGGGCTTTAGATGTCTGCATCACCCCACATGGTGTGTGTAGCTTCAAGAGAGCAGAGCCTGGTGCAGGGCCAGGAGAAGAAAATAAAAGAGAAGCAGCACAAAAAAAGATAAATTTAAAAAAGAGAGAGAAACAGCACAAAACAAAAATGGGCATTTCCTCTGGATTCTCAGGCTCACTGGCTGGATCCCTTTTCTTGGTTCTCTAGCTAAACAGAGGAGATTTCTTTTGGGGTTTTTGTTTTATTCACTCACTGTGCAGTTCCATGACTCTGGGGACAAAGCCAAGAGATAAAGGAGATTTTTTAAAAAGACACAAAACAGGAAACTCCCATCTTCATGGGAGAAATGCCAATCTGCCTGCTATTTCTGTTTTTTGTTTTTTGTTTGTTTGTTTTTTACTTTTGAGTCCTCAGGTAGTTTCTTTTTTAGTTTTGTCCAGGTATGTAGTTGTGATCAATAGGGAAAATATGCTATGGTGGGCTTACTCCATTTTGGCTGGCACCAAGAATCAGGTTACTGTTCTCTAAGCTTTTTCACAAATATATTCATTTGTCAACAACTTCTCAAGCACTAACTATGTGCTAGGTGCCAGGTATATAAGAGAGAGCTAGACAGACACTGTGCTTACAGCCTAGCAAAGAAGAATGACAGAGAATAAGCAAGCACACAAGGTATGAGTATCACTTGGAGAAGCAGCAAAGCTACGGCAGTAAAGGGAATCTAAGGAAGGCTTTCCTGAGGAAGTAATGTTCAAACTGAGAACCAAAGGAGGAACAGCAGTGTGAGCAAAGACCAGCACACTTGCAGGCCTTGGGATGAGCAAGAGGTGGCATGTTCTAGAAACTGAAAAGGCGGTCTCAGTGAACATACAGTTAGAGGAGTGTGACAAAAGATGGGGAGATGGTCAGGAAAGGAGGTCATGTGCATCTTTGCAGACAATCTTCGAGATTTTTAATTAGTCTCCTTGGGAAAAAGCAAAACAAACCCATAATTCTTATGTTTGGAATTGAATCCCATTTCACAGATGGGGGAAATAAGGCTCAGAAAAGTAGGCGAGGGCACAGTATTTTACAGATGAAGCAAGAAGACCCAGAAAAGAGATTTATGTGAGCCACAGAAGAAATAAATGGCAGAAAACTGACTTGTAGCTAAATATTCAACTCCCTGGTTGGTCAGTGCTATTTCTTCCACTCTCATTTGCTCCAAGATGTCTCCTTGTCACCTTTGCAAGCACTGAGCATGTAGTTTTTAGCATCTTTTTCTTCACCTGTTTATCTTTGCAGTGCAGAAAAGGTGTGGGGTGGGTGACTGCAGTTGTGCACACACGTGTGAATGCATGTGTTTGCATATTCCCAACACTGGTAACGTTTCTGTTTCAGACAGTTTGTCCAGCCAAGTGATCCATCAATTCACATCACCTGGGGAATTCACTGTGTTTGCTGAGTGTACAACTAGTGAGTGGCATGTGACAGCTCAGAAGCAAGTGACAATTCAAGACAAGATGAAGAGTCTCAGTGTGACTGGGTGCTCTGGCTTGTCCAAATAAGGAGCCAGCCCTCTCTGCCAGGTTGTCTTTGGGGATACTATGTGGATTCAGGTAGAGCTCAATGGAGGTGAAACTGCAGAAATGGTCAAGGTCAAGGCAATCTTGATATCTCGAAATTTATCCATCCAACTCCCAGGTTTTAATAAATACTAACAGCAATCACTTATCAGTTAGTTATTTAATTACTCATTTGTTTAGCACCTCATGTGTGCCAGGAACTGATCTAAGTATTTTATATTTACTGGCCCACCCAGTATAGTATTATTATCTCCATTTTCCAGATGAAGAAATGGAGGAAAGGTTCAGAATCAAAGGTTCAAAGTCTCAGACTATTAAGCCAGTGAGAGCTTCCAGCTTTCCGAAGGTCCTTCTTTGCATGCCCATAGTCCTGTCTCAAGAATTGAACTTATAAGACGCTCCTTGCTGGGGTATTTAAATAGGACTGTGAGTCTTTCCAGCTGGGCCCAGGACCATCTCAATGCAGCCAGAATTGACCAATTTGGTCCAATTATGTTGTCCCAAGTCAGGGCTCATATTCGGCTGCACACTCTGCTACAGCCATAGCAGCTGTTGTGACTGGTGTCCATTCTCATTGGTCACAGTTTCTTTTCTGATTGGTCACAGAGGCCATTCTAATTATGTCCATTCTGATTAGTCAAAGTGTCCATTCTGATTGGTTATAGCAACATTTCTCATTGGTCATAATGTCCATTCTGATTGGTCATAGCATCCATTCTGATTGGTCACAGTGTTCATTGTGACTGGTAACAGAATCTCATCTATTCTGATTGGTCACAGTACCCATTCTGATTGGTCACAGTATCCATTCTGATTTATCAGAACACTCATTCAAATCGGTTCGTACTCATGCAAGTTTCAATGTTAAATATTTTGAAAACCACCCCTTCTCTCAGTAGAGACCCTCCCAACTAAGACCCATCCTCACCAAAGCCAGCATCTTTTCTCAAGGCACAGGTCCAATGTGAGAGCTAGATAGAGACTTGTTAATGTAAACTGTGCAGCACAGAGCTGTAGAGGTGAGGGCATGACCTCACGTGACTTCACACTACCTGAAGCCTCATTCAGAGCAGCGACTTACAGGAACTTTAACCAAGCTTTACATACAGTACTGGTCCTTGAGACTCCTTTCTGTATGGTGTGTTTGTTGGCTGAAGACGGTGGCTGTGTGTAATTGGAGAAGCTTAAAATAATCCTTCATGTATTTATGCATTCTACAAATATAACTGAGAGCATACTCTTTGCCAGGTATGGGAAAGGCAGCAGTAAACCTGAAAGTCAGGATTCCTGCTCTTGTCTTGAGGGCTTACATCATAATTATCATCATCGTCGTCATCATCATCATGGTCTTTGTCATCGTCATCTTTATCATTATCATTGTCATCACTCAAATAAGAAACACACTAGCCTAATTTCTTTGGGAAATAATCCTAATTTGTTGGTTTATATCCTATTTTAAGAGTCAACCACAATATTTAGCATTCAGTAAGGACAACCAACCCCAACCTGTAAGGGAGTACCATTGCGATGTCAACAAGCTGAGTTTTCCTGTGGACAGGGTTTCTGGCAGTTAGCTGTGGGAGTAGAGGGAAATGGCTTCACCTGCCCTTCCTGAAACAAAACTTAAGGCTAATCCTAATGCATATATCTCAGCTATACCCTTAGCCTTCCCTTTTTAGCCTTCCTCCTTACAAAAATATGTTAACAAATAATCTAATACTTTTATTACAAACTTTTAAGTTTTTAGGGAACACATGCATAGTATAAATAAAGTAGAATATACAAATGAGCAGAGAGGACCTAAAACTCATGAATCCAATACTCAGAGATAATCACGGTTAGTATTCAGGGGCAGGGTATATCCTTACTTATGTCTTTATAGCTATATTCATGGGTACTGTGATCAATCAGAATAAATTAGATGCTGTTATCCATGTCAGAATCTCATTTCAGAGCTTGAGTCTGAACTATCTTAGTATAATCAACTACATGGTTGTTATCACATTCCTAAATGTTTCTTGCCCCACTTAGAAATGGAGATGACTTATACTGTGCTATCAGATAAGATAACCCTGGCTGAGTTTACCACACAGCGGGCCCTGCTTCCCTACAACCTCACCCTGGACAGAGCAGACCAGCAGGAGATGGGCCCAGGGGTGCACCACTTGGAGATCCGAGCCACCAGCAACACCATCACCTCTGCACCCTCCACAAACATCACAGTCCACTTCATGATACCTCTGCCAGGGCTTAGGCCTCCTGGGCTTCTGAGGCCATTTGACAGGAACTACTGGTCAACATCTCAGTGGCTCATGGCATCCCAGAAAAGCTGACCTTTGAGGTAGCAGGACTCAATGCATCCTTCTCCCATGAGGAAGAGAGCCTTGGGCAGCCAACTTGGATTTACCATGTAACAGTTCCTCTTGAAGGTACTTGGGATTGGTAGCCCCCTTCCAAAACTCCCTCCTCTTCCCTTCCTAACTAGAATCCAGGATCCTTTCAGCCAGTTTCCAGGGTATCTTGGTCACAAACATGGTGGTTAAGAGCATCAAATAAGACAGAGACAGATATTATCTGTCCTCGTGCAGCATATTGTCACAGGGGTTCTCAACTTCGGCACTTCTGATATTTTGGACTGTATCATTCTTTGTTGTGGAGGCTGTTCTTTGCATTGTAAGATATTTAGTAGCATCTCTAGCTTCTATCCTTTAGATGCCAGTAGCACCAGCCTCCCAAGTCTTGGCAACCAAAAACATCTCCAGACAAAGCCAACTGTCCCCTGGGGAACAAAATCACCCTCACTGAGAACTATTGGGAAAGAGCAGGAGTATTCCAATTTCTTCCATCATTTCTAGAAAATAACGTGTTTGGGAAACTGCAGCCCATACCCTTAAGGGCAAGTGAGGTAAAAACTGAAGAGTGGGAAGAGGAACAAGAGAAGAAGTATCATAATTCTTACTGGAATAGAGATAGGGCAACTGACTGGCTGGGGGACAGACTGGCTGGCACCAGCTAGGGGAGGAGATCACACATACATTTGCATTTAATATAAAAAGAACAGAGTCCTTGAGGGCAGTGTAGTCAGGTTAGCAGGCAGGAATGTAATGAGGTTCCAGAGTCTCCAGCTCACCCAGGACCCCTACAGCATCCTCTGCTCTCTGTCTCAGATGTGTGCAAAATAGAGGGTAATAACTAGGCAGGTGTAGGCCTACCATGCTGTCAGCAAAGGATTTGGCAAAAGAGATGACAGAAAGGACAATGGATTCAAGAAGAAAAACATTGGAACTATGCCAGATAACAAAAGTCCAGTTTGGAACAGGAAGAAGCTAAAATGAAATGAAATGATGATGGTAACTATATATAATATATAGACTATAATTTAAATGCAAATTAATTTTTGTCTCCTATAAAAGTTACTCAGGGGATAAGAGATAAAATTTCAGCATGTCCTGTGACTTTATGACTTACTCTTAGATCAGGGGTGGATAACACCCAGCCCACTGGCCATATAAGGTCCGCAAAATCATTTGGTCTGGCCCTGCCAAGGCATTAGGGGTAAGCTAATCAAATGTTTGACCAAAGATAGCAGGCTAATTTTGTTGTTGTTAATCCTTGTCTGCAGATATTTTTCCATTGATTCTTAGAGAGAGTGGAAGGGAGGGTGAGAAACAGAGAGAGAGAAACATCTATATAAGAGAGACACATTGATTAATTGCCTCAATATGCACCCCAACTGGGACTGGGTATCAAGCCTGGAACCCAGGTACATGCCCTTGATCAGAATCAAACATCAGGCCCTTCAATTCACTCTAGCAGTGAGCCAAACCAGCTAGGGTAGCAGGCTAATTTTCAAGTTGATAATTTTGTATGGCCAACAAATAATGTTATAAATATCCAATGGCAGTAAAAAAGGTTCCCCACCTCTGTCTTAGATGGTAAGCAGTCTTCTCCCCACAAGAAAAATAGACTTGGATGACTCCAGTGATGAAGGAGATGAGAAGGAAGACAAGGGAACAGGTAGGGCAGGAAGGCTCTCACTTGGAGGGGCTGGCCTAGTCCTGGCTGACCTTGTTCTCAGGACCCAGAACATATTTACAACCATCTCTGTAAGAGCTTCTCTGGGCTCTCAAGGCCCCGGACTGGGCCTCTCTGCTCCAGGGCTGGGTGCCATCTCTCCTTCAGCTGGCCACATCCTTTCACATGTCTCTTTCTTTACTACCAAAGAGGTGTCTTTAGCCCACTGGCAAACATATGGTTTGCTTTTGACCATTTCCCTATGACCTGAATTTTTGCTATGATCCCTAAACCATTTCCAAAGACAGGCAGATTCCCCAGGATCTTCAGCATACCTTGTGACTTTGTTCTTTGGCAACTTTATCAATACCACCAGTCTGACACCTGTTCCCATTGTGTTCACAGCTCCTTCCAGTCTCCAAGAACCATGTGGAACAAACACTGAAGAAAAGAATATGAGTATTTTTTTTAAAACTCTTAACCTCACAAGAAAAAAATATCTAAGAACTCTGGGTTTTTGTTTTATTTTGTTCTGGTTTTTCAAAACACTAGGAATCACCGATATTTCTTCTGCTTAAAGAGAAACTCAGAAGGATTGAAATTAAACAAAGCATGTTCTCTTTTTGTGTTATAAATTAATAGTAAGATATCTATGATACATACATATCTTTTAGCCATCTTGGAAATTGAAACCACACTTCTAAAAATATATTAATGGGTAAAGGAAAAAAATCACATAGGAAACTTAAATATATTTCTAAGTGACAATTACAATACAACCTACCCAAATCTGTGGGATGCAACCAAGACTGTGCTCAAAGGCAAATTTATTTCTTTTAATATATATATCAGAAAATAGACTTGCTTCTTACAGAGCTGTGATATTTCATCTTCAGTTAACATTTTGAGATTAGATCTGCCTCTCTTTTCTCATTAGCTATTATAACTAAAGTACTACTGGTTGGTCCCAATTCCATGATAAAAGTGCATACATAGGTAGTGTGATGGTTTTTATAGCAAGACTAAGCCTTTGACTCCCTGCTGTTGACATTGCTCATGCATGCATTTATTCAATAATAAAGACTTAATTTGCATCTACAATGTTCAAGGCTTAGTATCAGGGGCTGGAGATACAATGGTGAATAAAAAGACATGATCCCTGCCTTCATGAACCTTACTGGGTCAGATTAACAAACGAATTAACATATAATTAGGAATTTTTATATGTCTAACTAGAACCAATAGGGTGCAATGAAAGCAACTAACAGAGGGTAATCTAGCAAATGTGATCAGACAAGGACTTCTTTAAAAAATTCTTTATTGTTTAAAGTATTACATATGTCTCCTTTCCCCCCATTGGCCTTTCCCCAGTGTTCCCACCCCAGATAAGGAGTCTTAAGAGGTGACATATAAGGGGGAACCTGTTGGAAAGTAGAACAAGAGCTTTGTGGGTGCATGGATTAGAGGGCTCTGAGGCCTATGTGGAGGAGGGGAAGGATGTAGGAGATAACAAAGAAATGAACAGAGGTCAGATCACATGGGGTCTAAGGTCTGGTTTTGACCACCACTGTAAGCCCTGCTCCAAGTCAATGCCAGATGGTCTCAGTTCTTATATGTGAAATGATCCACATACTGACTAGGTTCCACTTAGACCTCCACATCCCCTTTATCTCTCTGCAGAAAAAGCAGCTGGTTTGTAAGACACTTCTCCACAGTTAGCATCACACTCTCTACCTCAAAGCAATCGTGCCAAGGTGTGGAATGAAGACACCTTGTCAAATCTGCCTAGTTCCCCTTGGGATGATCACTGGGTACGTAAGTAACTTTAGTTGCACTGTGGGCTCAGTGCTAAAGGTCCACCATGTGTTCAACTGCATTATCAGTACCTGCTCTAGCCAGGCCCTGGGATCGATGCCTAGACAAATAAGAATATAGACCAGGCCTCTGTCCTTCCATTTAGTAGGGAAGACAGATAAGGAAGCTGATGATTAAAACACACAGTGCTAACTGCTACAGGAGAGGGGCCCAGGAGATTATGAGAATACAGGAGAGGGGGGTGTTAAGTTAAGAATGTAGGCCTTGGGGCAGCAAGATCTCAGACTGGATCATTGACCCTGGGACCTCTGGCCAGTATTTAAAGCCTCTCAGCTTCCGTCCCTTCAAGGGTTTGATAGCATCTTATTCCCAGGTTTGCTGTGGGTCAAATGAGAGAAACTAGTGATGTGTTTCCTCTTTTGTCTAGTGCAGATGAGGACACTGAGCTGTTACCTCTATAAAGCAGACAGCCAGCACAGAGAACTAGACCCAAAGAGAGCTTCTGTGAAGAGGAGTGAAGGTGAGCTGGCCACAATGGAGAGCATGTGGATTCTAGGAAGAGGGATCAGCCAGCATGCAATGTGTTCCTGGGGTCAATTCTGGAAGGACCTGTTAAACGGCTCATGCTCATAGGGCTTGACCTGGAATGAGGCTATAGCAGAATTCAACCCCAGCGATCTCCGATGGCCTGATAATAAAACTCAAAACCTCTTGCCTTGGCACCTTAAACCCCAGCTGGTATTTAGATGACACTCCACTAGAGAAGGTGAGGACACTGGCAACCACTCAAAAATGGGAAAGTTTCCCCACTTTGACTTCTCATACGTCTAGGACTAAGCTGGGGTGGGTCAACTCCATTCAGAGCTGGTGGAGGGGGATAAAGAGGTGGGGCACATTCCCCAAAGGAAAACCAGGGCATTGGTCAGAGAAAGCATGGGTGCCTGGGAGCAAAAACAATGGGGAAACACCACCACAGGTGCTGTTAGTGCTCCAGCCCTGTGGCTGGTAACTGTGCAGCTTATGTGCTCCAGAGCTCCGTGGGATCAGGCTGAGGCTGGACACCCTCTGAGGCTGAGACCACTTATTTGTCTAGTTTCATTCTTCACCCTATTCTGCTTCCCTCCCTCCCCTACTGGTTTTCCCTAAGAGCCCTCCCTCAATAAACCTCAATAAACCAGGTGAATCCTTATCTCAGGCTGTGCTTCTAGGGAACTTGACCTTGGACAATACCCTAACCAGGCTGGAGACTGCACATCTGGGTTGACCGCAGGAAGCACGCAGCGCCTGCTACTCATCCATCAGAATAAATCTGAAAGGCCTCCCATGGTCAGAAACCAGTGCCCTGCTGAGGTCTACTGGCCTGACTGTAACCTCAGGGGCTCTGGACTGTGCTCTCTTTCAAACCCAGCCCCTCCCGGCAGCCTGTAGACTCCGAGAATTTTGGCTGAGATCTTTAATCCTCCTCCAGGGCAACACCTCCACCCTGCTGCTCAACAGCTCCTTGCTGCAGGCCTGGGGCCAGGCCAGCGGCATCCGAGTCACAGGTGGGAAGGCCTCCCTCAGTCTCTTGTCATGGATTCAGTCTGTTGCAGAAAATGAGCCAAGACAAACCCAGAAGCCTGACATATAGAATCTCAGGCTCTGGTGTGAATCCCATCGACCACCGCTTTCTAGCTTGGAGGCCTCAAATAAGGGATTTAACCTCTCTGTGCCTCAGTTTCCACACATGTAAAGGAGGTGTACTAAAATCACCTGCCTCCTAATTGTATGGTGCAGGTTAGATGAGACAGCACCTGCGGTGCAAGCAGATCATCCTGGGGTCGTGCAGCCTGCATGTCTTGTCAGGACGATTCAGCACTTTTTTAGTTAAAACAAGCTCAACGCACAGGGCAATGTAGATTATCAAAAAGATAAATACTGAGGGCGAGAATTCTTCTTCTGGATGGATTCCTTTGACTCAGTATTTCTCAAAGTGGCTCATAGACCATCCACACTGGGATAACCTGGGGTACTAATATAGAATGCACACTCCTGGGTTTATCCCAAACCTTCAAATCCTTCCCCTACTTCCTCCCCTCCTTTCTCCTCTTCTTGTCCCACTCCTTCTCCCTCTCCCTCCCACCCACTACCCTCTGCCTCTATCATCTTCCTCTATCCTCTCCTCTGCCTCTGACCCCCCTCCCTCCCTCTTACAAAGACCACTATGATGACATTAGTTTCACCTGGTTAATCTGGAACATTCGTCTCAGAACCCTTAACTTAAATCTCCAAAGTGATTTGCTGGTCCCTTTTGCCATATTCACAGGTTTTGGGGATTAGGATGTGGACACCTTTGAGAAGCCATTATTCTGTCTACCACATATCCTATTAGGAAAACAAAGGTCTATAGGCTTTGAAAAACCCCAAAGGAGCCTGGTCACTTGCTCTGACCCCAAATCTTTCTAAAATGGTTTCAGCAAGCCATTACATTTCCTCTCCTTACCTTCTTCCCTCTGTGCCAGGGTCAGAGAGCATGTGCTGGGGTCGCTGTCTGCAATCACCACCACCCTGGGGGACATGCAGAGGGTGCAGGGGCTGGTCAAGGTGCTGAGAGAGGTGTCCCATCGCAGTGAGGAGCTCATGCCCTTGGCCCAGGTGAGTAGTTCTCCCCTACTGAGCCAGGCCATGGGACACATACCTCCACAGTGGGTGGCTAACAACTCACCCCAGCCCAGGTCAAAGGTTCCTCAAGTCACAGGGCTGCCAAGACTTACAGCTACGATGCCAAAGCTCACTTTCCACCAATGGCTGTTCCAGGAAGTCACATCATCAGACCAGTTTCTCAAGCTGCTTCCTGGAAGTGTGACCAGCTCAAAACTTGAGCATCAGAAGCCAAAGGGGAAAAAGAAAAGAAAGAAAGAAAAAAAAAAACTTGCTACATTAAGAGCTTATTTTTGTTGTTGGTGTAATAATTATTATTGTTGTTATTATTCAGCATTATTAGGTGAGCACTTACTATATGCCCTAAAAAAGCTGACAAGCACTCACAGAACTGACCTCATTGCAATCCTCACAGCCTTCAGGAACGGGGGCTTTTGAAATCTCCACTTTCCAGGTAAGAGCAGAGAGGTTAAGCAACTGGTCCAAAGTCACACATCCAAAAAGAACAGAGTGAGAATTTGAACCTTTGTCTGTTTGACTTGACAGCCATGCCCTGCACACTAACTGGGAGTGCCTCATGTAAGCTCCTGGTCTCAGGAGGAGATGGTACTGCTAGCACATTGGGGAGACCATCAGGGTCAGCTTTCCTGGCAAATTACCTCAGTCCCCCTTTTCTATGATGTTAACCAAGTCTCCACAAGGCTTCAGGGTGACCCTAAGCCCCATTTCCTGCAGATGAATCCTGAGCCCAGAAGACCTGCACTTTGGAGAAGGTGTCTACTATCTGACTGTGATCCCCAAGTCTGACCTGGAGCTGACCCCTAGCAGAGACCTCACAGTTGGCATCAACACATTCCTTTCCCATTGTGTGCTTTAGGATGACATCCAGGAAACTTTGGATAATTCTGGGTGCCAGGTAAGGAGGAGGAAGTGAAGAAGACAGAACAGTTTGGTGGGGTGCGTCCTGCTCATTTAGGGTCCTGTTTTAGTGCCTCTGATATACCATCAGCCCCTCCTTGAGGCCTTTCCATGTGTGCCTGGGAATATACCCTGAACCCCCATTCAATAAAGTTAACAACTTCTGCCAAAACCAGTTTGGCTTAGTGGATAAAGCATTGGCCTGAGGACTGAGGGGTCCCAGATTCAATTCCGGTCAAGGGCATGTACCTTGGTTGTGGGCACATCCCCAGTGGGGGGAGGGGTGTGTGTGTGTGTGCAGGAGGCAGCTGATCGGTGTTTCTCTCTCATAGATGTTTCTAACTCTCTGTCCCTCTCCCTTACTCTCTGTAAAAAATCAATGAAATATATTTAAAATAAATAAATAATAAATAAAGTTAACTTCTCCATCACATTCCACCTGAAATGTCACTTCCTCCAGAAACTTCTCAATGCCCTGTTTAGCTCAGATTTCCTACTGTGAACATTTAGAGCACACAGGCCCGTCTCCTCCATGGACTAAACAGAGTAGTAGCTCACATCCTCTCAGATCACTGAACCATGTCTGTACCCTCAGTGCACTGGGAGTCACGTGAGACAGGAACAATGTGCTTTGCTCGCTGTTAGGAACAAATGATCACCAAACAAATGGACAAATGGCTGGGAAGCCCTGCTGACTTGGTTGCCGAAAGAGGCCAGAGAGTCATGTCCAAGGAGTCCTTTATTCTATGCCATGGTACTATGTTTTCTGCTTTCTTGTGTTATCTCATCAAATCTTCACAATAACCTTCTAAGATAGTTGGTATTCACATTCTACAGATGGTAAAACAAAGGCTCAGGAAATTCAACTAACTAGCCTCGAATCTCTCAACTAGTAGGTAGAAGAGCTGGGACTCAAACTCAGGTCTGTCTGCCTCCAGAGAATAAGCCTTAGTGTTATGAGGCAGTTTCTCTGGAGCCCAGGCCAGTCTCACTAAGCCCCTCGATGGCACATGGCTCTATTAACTGCAATTAAAGCCCTGTCTCAGGTCAGTTCAGCTCTGCTTCCAAGGAGGCAAGTGTGTTGGTAGCAGATAATGTCTTTGATGCCATTGCTGTGGTATCAGTATCCCCCTTCCCCCTTCTAAGCTATTGTATATGCTATTCTCTTCCCTGGTATGCCCTCCTTACCTACAATACCTATTCACCCTTCAATCTCCCACCACTGCCACCTTCTTCAAGGAGCTTCTCAGATGTCTGAGTCTCCCTTTGTTGGATTTCCACAGCACTCCATACCTTTTCCAAGAACAGCAGCCTCCATTTCTAGCTCAGATTTATCTGTCTCCACCTACGAGACCATAAGTGCCTTATTTCATTTATTCTACAAATAGTTACCAGGTGCCTGGCCAACTGGTGAAACATAATGGTGAGAAAAACCAGTAAGCTTTCAGTTTAGCAGAGGACACAGACAAGAAACCTATAGCACATGCCATATCAAATGACGCAAGTTACAGTAGTGTAAGAGGTTGCAACAGAGTCACAGAAGGGAACTTAGAGTGAGCTCCTTCCAGGTCCTTTTCTGCTGCCATGGCAACTCCTTCCCTGGCTTCCAGCTGCCACACACGGGGAGTTCTCAGAGCACCAGGAAGAGATGAAGGGGCACTGAGATGTCCAAGGCACAGCAGGTCCCCCCACTTGCAGCACAGGCCTTTGTTCCTTATGAACAATACCCTGATTGTGTTGTGACATCTTGAGTCCTTGCTTCTAGAGGCTGTTTGATCGCCATGTTGCTGGCAGAGTGCTACTACAGGCTGCCCTCAGATGCCCCTAGGCTCAGAAAGTGTCAGGGCTGGCAGCAATGACTCCACCATTAGACAGACTTCGGTCCAATCCCACTTCATCAATTCTAGCAAGGTGACCTGGGACGAGTCACCGCCTCTTTGAGCTTTCCCATCTGGAAATGAGACAAAAATACTTGTAGTTGGAGGTGGGAACCTAGATGAGATTAGGGGTATAAAGTACTTAGTGTGGTATCTGACACACAGTGAGTGCTCCATAGATTAAAGAAATGGCTATGTTAGCCAATCAGAACATAGAAAAGACAAAACTGTACATAAAATAGAAATCCAGGAGACAATGAACATGGGATTCAGTATGGTGGGTAGGTGAGAAGAAGCATGAGAACAGGTTGGGAAAGGAGCACTTCACTAAAAGTAAGTTATTGAAATTCCTAGCTTTTGAGTTGTGGGTGTTTGGGTGCTTATTGTGTTATTAAAAATATACACTTACTGCCCTAGCTGGTTTGGCTCTGTGAATAGAACGTTGGCCTGCTGAATGAAGGGTCTCAGGTTCAATTCTGGTCAAGGGCATATGCCTAGGTTTCAGGTCCGATCCCCAGTGTGGGGCATGTAGGAGGCAGCCAATCAATGATTCTCTCTCATCATTGATGTTTCTATCTCTCTCTCCCTCTCCCTTTCTCTCTGAAATCAATAAAAATAATATATATATACATTTACTAATGCATACATACATGAATGTGGTTGTACAAAAGTCATATGTGAAAGTGTGTCATAGACCAAAAGTACCCAATATTGTGTACTTGCTGCTCATTATATATAGATATAGATATAGATATAGATATAGATATAGATATAGATAGATAGATAGATAGATAGATAGATAGATACAGATATGTCGAGGTCATTGAGGACCATAAATAAGTAAATGGGATCATCAAGTTTGCATGGAAAACCACCAATGAATCCTCTAAATAGCTAAAGAAGTTTCCAAATCTATGAACTACAGACCTTGTCATGGAGTAAAGGCAGAAATATTGGAAGGGGTCTGAGAGCCATACTAAAGGCACAACTACTGTTGCAAGGGGATGCACAGATTAATTCAAATTTTCAAAGAGGTCCTCACGCTAGAAAAGGTTGAGAAAGCGGCTTTTTCTTCCTCTCCCTGGGAGTCTTGTGAAAAACCCAGAGGGGCAAAGATCTTAGACATAAATCAGATCTGGCCCCAGGGCTCCCAGCACTGAGATGGTCTTGTTACTGGCACCTGCTTGGGTTTCTTCTCTGAAACTAGCCCCACCCCTTCTGGGTGTGCCAAGTGTTCCCATAAGCCTCACAGCTCTATGCCAAATGGTCTGGCCAGAATTGGGAAACAGCAAGAAAAACAACAGAATACACAAGGGGCTAAGACCCGTGTGAAATCCATCCATGAACAGTTGGTGCCATGCCTTTGCTGGGTGACTCACTTAAGGAAAAGGGGACATGCTTGGGATATGGCAGGTTCTTCTTTACCAGGCATTGAGCAGAGTACTTTCCACATGCCAGTGTTTCCTGTTTCCTCCTTCCTTCACCTTGTGGTGGACTCTGAAATGAAAGGGTGGTTCTGGGTTGTGGGGTTGAATTAAATCCTCTTTACCCACCAAATGGCCCTGGGGGGGGGAATTCAAACTGGTTGAGGGCTTTAGGGAAGGCTTGCTTCTAAGTGCAGGGTACACATTAAGAGCACATTAAGACCTCGCCCATTCCTGTCTCCCTGTCCCCAACCTCATTGTCAGTGTTCCAAGCTCCCCCCATATGCCCTGCCTACTCAGGCTGATGATCCTGAGGAATAGGTTAGTGAGGGCCCTAGAAGCAAGGAATACTGAGGTTCCAGGTCCCCAAGCCTCAGTTTAAAAGTGAAAGGGTACGCCGAAACCGGTTTGGCTCAATGGATAGAGCGTCGGCTTGGGGACTGAAAGGTCCCGGGTTCGATTCCGGTCAAGGGCATGTACCTTGGTTGCGGGCATATCCCCAGTAGGGGGTGTGCAAGAGGCGGCTGATCGATGACTCTCTCTCATCGATGTTTCTAACTCTGTATCTCTCTCCCTTCCTCTCTGTACAAAATCAATAAAATATATATTTAAAAAAAAATAAAATAAAAGTGAAAGGGTAGGAGAAGTCAAGTGAGGCACGAGGAGAGCAAAATTTAGGGAGGACTTATTTTCAGGGTCACCCACGGCCTTGCTCTAGTCCTAGGTGAGTGGTATGTGCTGTGGTGGGAGTGTCTCCTTGGCCCCAATGCCTAATCCTGTGTAGAGGGGCACAGCCCAAGGACAGCTAGAATGGGGCCCTTCTAAAGAGAAGCCCGGGACAAGGGCTCCAGGTGCCTAGAGCTAAGGAGGGGGGGGTCAAGTTTAGGGAATACTTTCCTGGTGCTGAGACACCAGCTTAGAATGAAATATTTGCCCTTCCCTTTTCCTAGCATGGTTCTCCCAGTCTTGGTCTTCCTTTGCTGTTCAGTGTAAAATGGCCAACTGAAGATGTTCAGTTTGAAAGGCAGGAAAGTCCCCAGCATTGGTCATCCTGGATGTCCTCTCAGCACCTAGCCCACTGCCTGGCCTAGTATTAACATTCAACAAATATCTGTACAATAAATGAGCATCAGGTGAGAGAATGGACTGGAATGATGCACATCAAAGTGTGAAAATGGTTGGTTGTGGAGGGTGAGGGACAGAAGGGACTTCAGCTTGCCCTGCAATACTTATCTACAAAAGGCAAAGCAGACTGACAAGGTGGACAGTTGCACATTGAGAGTGATGGATACAAAGATGTTTGTTAAAGGTAATGTTCTCTTCATTTTAAAATTATTTTTTAGTAAAATTATTTTTTAATTAAAATTAAAAAAAAACCAAAAGAATCCTGAAACTGGTCTTCCCATAGGCTCCCTAGCCTCTCTCCAGGAGAGTGTCCACTTCTCATTGCTTTCCCTTGGGTTTGAGCCATTCAAGGATGTACCCACATTGCTACCAGGGCCTCTTTGTGGTTTCAGGTGGGGCCATGAACCATGGGCTCCCAAACACACTGCCTCTGCAGCCATCTTACCTTCTTTGGAAGCACATTCTTGGTGATGCCCAATGCCATTGATGTCTGCCAGACCAGAGAGCTCTTTGGCACTTTTGAAAAACAATCCAGTCATTGTCACCACTGTGGGCTGTCTCTTCGTGGCCCACATGCTGGTGGCGATCTGGGCAAGGAGGAAGGATGCTCAGGATCAGGCCAAGGTGAGATTGTATGGTCCTGGGGAATGGGAGGGAGAAGCAGGTGTGAACCCTTGCAAGAGCTCCAGGGAATGGAGCCCAGATGGGGAACCAAGAGGCTAGATGCAAATCTAGGTCTTGACCCCTGTAATCGTCTCAGGCAAGCCAGCCCCCAGCCTCTTTATCTGTAACAATGTTCTTTTCATAAAATTATCACCAGGATTATGATACTGATCATTTTTTTTTTTACATTTTTAAAATTAAATTATTATCTGTGTACATATCTGATCATTTATTGAGGATTTACTCTATGCTAGGCATTACCCCATTTAATACAATAGCCCTAAGAAGAAAATACGTCCCCAAGACCACCCTCAAGTTCAATGATTTGCTAGTAGGATTCACAGAACCTCAGAAAAGCTGTTATACTCATGATTATGTGTATACAGTGAAAGGATACAGATTAAAATCAGTAAAGGGAAGGGGTCTCTGGGAGATCAGGTGATAGTTTCTAGTTGCCCTTTCCCGATGGAATCGTATGGACAGATTTAATTCTCGTAGGAAAGTATTACCATCAAGAAAAGCTCACTTAAACTTTGGGGTCTAAGGTTTAATTGGGGGTCAGTCACATAGGTATTGAGTGCACACATGACTGACTTTCCTTATATAGTCTCCAACAAACCACCCCATTCCTGCCCAGGGTCAAATTGATACAGCATGGCTCAGAGCCTGCACCATAAATCACATTTTTAGCATAGACTACCGGCTGTGGCCCATAGCCCCAGGTATTCAAGGACATACTTATAATACTGGATCTTCTGGGGAGTTATAGATTATCTTTCAGGATCGAGACAAGAGCCAGTCCTTTCTTTAAAATGTGCAGGGTTTGGAAAACCCAAGCTTGCTGAGTTCACCCTTTACTGCACAATACCTCTATCATCTTACAGAGGAGGCCACCAGGGATCACAGAACACAATTAACTGGTCAAAAGCCACCCTCCTGGGAGGCAGAATTCAAACCTTGAACACTGATAATAAGACAGGTCTGAGGATAGAAACAAGATCAAACAACACATTGTGCAAGAAATTACAACAAAGTTCTTACTATTTTTCCAATATATGCTCCATGTCTGACACATAGTGAGCCTCCAATAAATATCTGTGAGTGAGTGAGCACATAAATGAACGCTAGTATGCAGGCACAAAGCTCTGAAACATTTCCATTCTCTGCCCTCTCCCCACATAGCAACACCTCTTGGGTGTTAAGATGATATGGCACTTAAGATAAATAGCTGCAGCGTTTATACTGCTATCTTTGATTCACTCAAGAGATTAAACGTTAATACTTTAAATGCTTAGCTGTAGTTTGATTCCCACAAGGCAGAGTCTGAGATGGAGTTTAGCGTGCAGAGTGTTTATCAGCCCATGGGAAAGCAGGGAAGGAGACAAGATGAGTAGAGGGAGAAGCTGAGCTGAACTTCAGCCCACTGACTGCCCCACCAATCCAGAGAGAACTCCAGAGCTCTCCAGAATTGGGTTGAGATGCCCAAGTCTTGATCACACCTGGGCACCACATGAATCTGCCATTGGATGTTGGCCTTCCCAAGGGGTGCATGACCTCAACAGAGGTGGCTCTTGCATCCCTGACAAAAGCACCTCAACAACTGGAGTAACAAGTTTTCCCTTGACAGATCTGAGCAGCTCATCACAGCTTTTAAAAATATTTTTATTTTTTGCTTAATCACCTTAACATTCATTCCTTTTAAAATCCCTTAGCCCTAGCTGGTTTGGCTCAGCGGACAGAGCTAAGGCCTGCGGACTGAAGGGTCTTTGGTTTGATTCCAATTAAGGGCACATGACCGGATTGTGGGCTCAATCCCCAGTAGGGGGTGTGCAGGAGGCAGCCGACCAATGATTCTCTCTCATCACTGTTGTTTCAATCTCTCTCTCCCTCTCCCTTCCTCTCTGAAATAAATGAAAATATTTTTAAATAAAAAGTACAAAATGCATTTTTTATTAAATAAGACCCAAAGTAGTCAGATTGGAAATGAACTTGGTATTATTAAGCTAATAATGTTTTATCTGGTGAATGATACAAACTCTGTTTATATATAATTTGTTGTAGCATTTGATAACCATATTGTGGCTCTAAGGGATTTTTAAAAATATTCTGATAGGTTCTAGTTCCACCCTTAGCACTTTTGAAGCATCAATCTATCATTTAGCTCTTTGTTTCAGCATCTGTAAAATGGGGACAGATACCAATCATGAAGACAAATCCTGACCAAAAGAGGACAATGAGCTGATTCTCTGGTAGAAGAAGCTGCTGCTGAGCACTAAGCTAAGGTCATCTTCAAATGACCTTCAGGGACAAGTACTGGTAATATCCTCATTTTACAGGAGGAAAACCTAAGCTTAAGGAAGACAATTGACTTGCCCAAAGTCACACAGCTGGCAAGTTCAAGGCCAAGACGCCTCCCCACTCTGTTTGAGGTCAAAGCTAGTGATCAAAATGAATGGTTTCCAGCCTGACTATCCACCAGCAGCCAGCAGCTTTAGAAAAACACAGCATTTATGTTGCTGCCTTTGATTTACCTAAGGGATTAAACATTAATACTTTAAGTGCTTCAGTTGTAGTTGGTTCCCATGAAGCAGAGTCTGAGATGGAGTTGAGCATGCAGGGTGTTTATTAAGGAGTATCTGGGGTCACCTCTGGGAAGGGAAGGAAGCAGGATGAGCAGAGAGAGAAGTTTTGATGCAACCCAGTAACAGCTCGGTTGACCCCCTCGCTCCCTGCCACCTTTCATGGAGTTCTGGAGCTGTCCTGACTTGTGTTGAGATGCCTAGGTCTTGATCATGCCCGGGCACTGCATCCACCAGTCACTGGATGTCAGCCTCCCCAGCAGGCTGTGTGACCTCAGCAGACATGGCTCTGGCATGCCTGACAGGACTGGACTCCCAGAAAGGAGAAAATGCATGTAAAGAACTTAATTTAGCTGGCCAGCATGGCTTAGTGGTTGAGCATCGACCTATCAACCTGGAGGTCACAGTTTGATTCCTGGTCAGTCACATGCCTGGGGTTACAGGCCCCATCTCCTGCAAGAGGCAGCCGATCAATGATTCTCTCTCATCATTGGTGTTTCTGCCTCTCTCCTTCTCCCTTTCTCTCTGAAATCAATTTAAAAAAATCTTTTTTAAAAAAAAGAACTTCTTAGTTTAGTCTCCATTATGGCAGTGAATGCTCAGTAAGGAGTGGCTACTGATATTATTACTATTCTTATTGGTTGTAAGGCAACAGAGAAATTGGCTGCTGTTGGATCTGACATTACAGCAGAGGTGATATGATTTCATTTCTTCTAACTCAGGTTAGATGATACTTGCAAAGTCCCGAGTCCAAGATAGATAGCAGGCTCATTCTCTGGGTGGAAGGAAGCCTGTGGGAGGTTCAAATTTTGTGTCTGCACCTCCCTGAATTCACACATTTAGATAACCTCTCTTTCCTTGTTCTTGCTGCCCTGTGTTGGGGTTAACGGTTTCTAGCATCATAACTGTGAAAACATGGCGGCCTTCAACAGCTGGCTCTCTACCCTAGTTGAACGCCCCATGTTAGGCCAAATTCACCTACTGATCAGGGCATTTTGATCGAGGCATTGAGAACAGTGAAGAAAAAAAATTTAAATCTCTCTTTACAGGAGCTCTTGTTCTTGGGCTCAAGTTTGCAAAGGTGTTCAAAAAAGTTTTTCCCCCCAGACCTTGTCCTCAAAAGTGTGGGTCCTTTCTCCAGGTACGTGAGCTGGGTGTTGGTGCATGACCTGGCGATGGGCAGAAAGTGGTATTTCCTCTGCAACTCGTGGCTGTCCATCGATGTTGCAGACTGTGTCCTTGACAAAGTATTTCCAGTGGCCACAGAGCAGGACAGGAAACAATTCAGGTACTTTCCCCCCCTCTTTTTAAGCACATGCTCTTTACTTTCTTCTTTCATTGCTACGGAACAAGTATCACAATCCAGGCGCAGCCAAATAAAAACACATTTCAGCTATCAGGCCTGGGTAGCTTTGAGTGTGTAACATTAATGACCAATCAGTTTTTCTTGTTGAGAATGAAAGGCTCTGGGGCATTGGCTCTCAACCTTTCTAATGCCTCGACCCTTTAATATAGTTCCTCATGTTGTGGTGACCCCCGACCATAAAATTACTTTCGTTGCTACTTCTTAACTGTAAGTTTGCTACCCACAGGTTGAGAACCACTGCTGTAGAGCCTAAGATCATTGGAAAACAGAGATATTTACATTACAATTCATAACAGTAGCAAAATTACAGTTATGAAGTAGCAACAAAAATAATTTTATGGTTGGGGGTCACCCCAACATAAGGAACTGTATTAAAGGGTCGCAGCATTAGAAAGGTTGAGAACCACTGCCCTGGGGGGACAAGGACCCTTCAAGGACACTTCTTCAAAGTGGTGAAAATAGTTAAGGTTGAAACAATTATGCGTATTTCCTTATGAATGTCACAGAATAATATTTTTATAAGGGGACAGACTGATTTGAATGGTGACTCAGTATCTGCTCATTTGGGGCTTCTACATGTTTTTTTTTACACCAGCATTTGTTTCACTTTGCTTTTTTTCTTCCTCCCACATCTCTCTCCAAACACAAAAAGCAGATTAAAATGTACACATACATATAACACTATAAAACGTTGTTTATCTTATCTCTTTTAAAAATGTTGTTACTCAAAACGATACAACAGTATGTTTAGGTAAAACCTTTCCTTATCAGCTGCATAATGTTCCGTAGAATGAATGACCCACAACTCATTCAACCATTCTCTTTATCAGTGAACATTAAGCCTCTTCCCAATATTTAAAAATCAAGAGACTTCACACACAAAAAAAATGGCAAGTATGGGAATGCAGAAGCAGCATTCCTGCATGGCACCAATGTGCTGGAGGCGAATCTCAGCCTTCCTCTTACAGGGACCATAAGCTCTCCAGTTTACCACAGTCCTCACACTCCCTATTACACTACTTCCAACCCACTTCACTCATTTGACTTATTTACATCTACCTGGGCCCCTTGAGCACTTGGGTTTGTGACCTGTACTTGAAAGGGCTTTTTTTTAAAAAAAAAAAAATCTCACCCCAGAATATTTTCCCATTGCTTTCCCTCCACCACCACCCCTCTCTTTTTTTTAGAGAGAGAGAGTGAGAGGGAGAAAAGGATGGGGAAGAGAAAGAAAAACATCCATGTGAGAGAGACTCATCAATTGGTTGCCTCCCCCATGTATCTGACCAGGGCCAGGGATCAACCCACAACCTAGGTACGTGCCCTTGACCAGGAATTAAACCTGAGACACTTTGGTACACAGGCTGACACTTTAACTACTGATCTATACTGGCCAGGGCTTAAATGTCTTTTGAGTTAGGTTTGTTGTTGTATTTTTAAAGTCTGTTTCCAGTGCATTTACTGAAATGTGACTTTTCCTCCCAGCTGCTACTGTGAGCAGCAGCTCAGCCTCCAAGGGAGAAAAAGTCTGAATTAGAGAGACTTGAAACCCAAAAAGAGGTATAATAAGACATGAGATGGACCACAAAGTCCCACATGCCTGCTATTGACTTCCTGCATGACCTTGAATAAGTCCCTCACCTCTCCAGGTCGCAGCTTCCACATCTGAAAACTTAGTTGTTCATTGTACCTACCTCAAAAGGGACCTATGCAGGTCCCATGAAATGATGCAGGTACAAGGCTTAGCACAGTGAGTGGCTCAGAGTAAGTTCCCAATTGCAGGAGCAGATACCATCCTCCAATTTTATCAAAACATGTGATGCCTAAAAACTAGACAAGGTGCTTTCTACAGGCAGGAGCGTGTCATTAGTCCATGCATCCATGGTGCTCAGTGGAGCACTGGCCCAAAAGCGCTAGGATCATCAAATATGTGTTGAATGAGTAGAACCACCATTTGGAAAATTGCTGTTGTTGGCAACTGACCTCTTTCTTTATACACCTTTACTCTGAGTCCAAGCCACCCACATACCCCAGGGTGGCATCCAAGTATTACACAACCCTGGAGAGTGCTGGCATTGACCAATAAGAATGGAGCCAGCTGAGATTATCAGCTCTGCACACTCTGGGCCCTTGAGAGCTTCTGTGGTTAAACTACATTGTATTCACAGAGAAATAATATGAATTAAGAAGAATGTGGTACCATTTTCAGAGATCCTACGTGTCAATTTTAAGTCTCTCAAACTGAGTCTGAACTCAGAGCCTGGAATTTTAACTGCTATCTTTTAGTGCTCTAATTATAACAAATCCAATAATATTATAGTTCTGTTATTACCTTAAAATTATAATAAAAGTAATAATTGTTCACACTGATGAACATTCACCATATTGCCAGCTCCTTTGCCAAATGCTTTATAAGAATTATCACTTTTAATCTTTTTGACAATCTGGTGAGGCAGGTTCTGTTATTACCCTCATTTTACAGATGTGTGAGTTGAGATGCAAAGAGTAAAGCGACCTGCCTGAGGTCACACTAGTAGGAGGGCAGTCTAGGATTCCAGCCCACTCTGTCCAGAGTCCCCGTCATTAACTCTAAGTGATGCTGCCACTTAGATGTATTTCTTTTACAATCGAAAAATAGGTGGTAAATCTTAGAAACAAACCCCACCTTCTCATCCCAATATTATTCCAAAGAGACCAGTCTTCTCCCATCCTATCTCCTTTAATGGCTGTCCCTCTCTCCCTGCCTGTCCACAGCCACCTGTTCTTCATGAAGACCTCCCTGGGCTTCCAGGACAGACACGTTTGGTATTCCATCCTCAGCTGCTCAGCTCGGAGAAACTTCACCCACGTCCAGAGGGTGTCCTGCTGCTTCTCTGCTCCTCTGCACCATGCTGACCAGCATCATGTTTTGGGGTGTTTCCAAGGACCTAGCTGAGCAAAAAGTGGATTTGGGTAATTCCCACTGTCTTGGCAGTCAGGTGAAGATGAGTGGCTGGTAAAGATGAGCTATCACTGCTCCAGAAATGCCACCCAGTTCCAGAGCTCTCCAAACCATCTCAATTTCAATAATTCACTTGAAGGACTCACAGAAGTCAGAAATACTGTACAATTATCCTCATACTTATTACATATTTTTAAAAACAACAACAACAACAACAACAACAACACAGATTAAGACCAGGAAAGGGAAGAGGCACATGGTGCAGGGTCCAAGAGAGACCAACCGGGAGCATCTAATTGTTTCCTCCCAGTGGAGTTGTGAACAGTGCTCATTCCTCCTGATAATGACATGTGACAAAACACATAAAGTATTGCAACCAGAATGCTCATCCAAGTCTTGCTGTCCAAAGTTTTTATTGGGACTTGTTCACATAGACATGGCTGCTCCCCTGCATGACTAGCCTTATCCTCCAGTTCCTCCAGAGGTTGAGGAAATATCATGTGGCCAAGGTCCTCACCATAAATCACTCTGTTAGCATAGACTACACAGTGTGGCCCAAGATCCCAGGTAAACAAAGTTGTGCCTACTAGCAGGACAACCCAAGGGCTTAAGAGGTCACCTCGTAGGAGCCACTTAAGGGCCAGATCCCTCCTTGGGCAAGTTTAATCTTTACTGCATTGCCACCTCCTGGAAGAGGAAAAGACTCTCCCACTTACTTTTTCCTTCCTCTGTCTCAGGTAAAATTGAATTCACTTGGCAAGAAGTGATGATTGGGCTGGAGAGCTCTCTCCTCATGTTCCCCATCAACCTCCTGATTGTTCAGATCTTTCAAAACATCCGACCTCGGATCACTAAGGAGCGGAACTAGGAAATGTGACAGGAGGTCTCCCAGTCCAACCCCCTTACCCACTGCCCCTGGAGGATGGAACAGCTGAAGTTAGGACAAGGCAGCTGGCAGGAGAGAAAGTAAGGGGTCCTGACCTTCAGGGGCTGGGTCACAAACACATTCTCTACAAAGGAGATGGCCAAGGAGATGAGCCACTTGAGAGAGCTGGTCCTCCCATAGTGCAAGCCATATAGCATGGTGAAGAAGGCTACCACACCGCTGGTGGCAGCCACCAGGAGCCAGCCCACCAGGACACACCACCAGGGCAGGCCTTGAGGGGGCTTGCTTGATCTCAGGGAGCTATAATGGAAAGTGGATATAATCAGGGTGACACCACCCACTGAGGTTCAAGTTAAAATCTAACTCTACCTCATCAGCTGAGTGACCTTGGCCAAGCTTGTTGACCTTAGCCAAGCTCCCTGACTTCTTAGACCTTCAATTTTCTCTATATCTTGTACCTGCTTCAAAGGGCTAGTCTATACAGTATACATATTGTAAAAATAATACAAGCAGAACCACTTCAAAATGGAGTCAGAGTACCATCCCAGAGGAACCGCCTTGCACATCCTACTCCTCTACCCTTTGGAATGTTAAAACAGGGCAAAATAACCTTTGGGTTAGGCCTAAAGCAACACTGTATTCCAAGCAACTGTTTGCAAAGCAAACAGGAAAGCAGACATTATGGTTATTGGCATGAAAATTAAAAAGATTCTTTAGAATTATCAGCACTGTGTTAGCTTATTTGCCTTTATAGAAATGCCTTTCTTAGCCTACTAACATCCATAGAAATTCCTCTATTCATGTAATTTTTACGCTTACCTTTCTTTTTGTTTAAATATATTGTATTGATTTTTTACAGAGAGGAAGGGAGAGGGATAGAGAGTTAGAAACATTTGATGAGAGAGAAACTTCGATCAGCTGCCTCCTGCACACCCCCTACTGGTTTGTATATGTATGCATGTGTGTAAACATTTATAAATGTGTGTATGTGTACATGTACAAAACTGCATGGAACACCACCTCTGTGCAGGTCCCAGGGCAGGAACAATAATGAAGATGAGTACCATGATGACCCAAGCTTTTGGCCACTCACTCTAGGCCAGGCTTAGTGGTTTACTGAGATGCTGGCATTTCATCATCATAATCACCCTCAGAAAGGATCTTGCCTCCATTTTGTAGATGAGAAAACCTGAAGTTAAGAAGTTAAGGTCAGCCATAGCTGGTATGGTTCAGTGGATAGAGCGTCAGCCGGCAGACCAGGTTCAATTCCAGTCAAGGGCATGTACCTTGGTTGCAGGTTCCTCCCTGGTCCAGACCCTTGTCAGGGCTCATGCAGAAGGCAACCAATCAATCAATATGTTTCTCTCACATCGATATTTCTCTCTGTCTTTCCCTCTTTTCCACTCATCCTAAAAATCAATGAAAAAATATCCTCAGGTGAGGATTAACAAAAACATAAAATATCATAGAAAGGATATTTTTAAAAAGAAGAAGAAGGTAAGGTCACCCAGCCAGTGTGGTTCAATTTTTAGGTGTCAACTTATGAACCAAAAGGTCATGGTTTGATTTCTAGTCATGGCACATGCCTAGGTTGCGGGCTTAATCTCTAGTTGGGGGGAGAGAGGTACAGGAGGCAGCTGATCAATGATTCTCTCTCGTTGAAGTTTCTATCTCTCCCTCTCCTTTCCTCTCTGTGAAATCATAAAAGCCCTAAAAAAGAAGGAAAAGAAAAAGAAGAAGCAGTTTAGATCATAAGCATCCTGCCCTAGACTACACATATAAATAGGAATATCACCAAATTTCCTCAATTCTAAGATGCTTTTAATTATAAGACAGTCCAGCAATTTACAGGAATTCGACCTTCAGATAAAACATCCAAGTCATTTAATGTGTACAACTATTAGAAGATGCAATTCTATTTCTGAAATGTAAAGTTACTGTCAGAGTAGAAGAAATATTGAGCCCAGGCCTGGAGTTCGAGGTCACAGCTTTCCCTGGGAAAAAAATCAGGTGGTAGGAGTACTGTGTGTGTGAGTTAGGGGAAGCTAAAGAAAGGAGGGGACATTTTCAGTGAATCTTTAGGCCTATGAGACTCACCAAATCTGCTCCTCCATTTCTTCCCTTTGGCCCTCTGCCTTGTCATGAACAGCCTTTGTCAGAAGATTTCAACAGTTCCTGACACCTCCCCCAATCTAGTCTGAGAATTTTAAGAACAGAGTCCTGGGCCTTTCTGTTCCCAAACCACAGAATCCTATTATACTTGTGTACTGTAGGTACTGTTGGGGAGGAATAAAGTTTCATCTACCCTCAAGATTCATTCAGCTGGTCTAATAGTTAAATCTACATGAGACAGATTAACAAATTTAATACACACATATGAGTGAGAACCTGATATATATGAAGGAGCAGAGAACCCACATACATGAGAGGTTCAAAGACAGAGAAGGAAAATGAGATATATATGGCACTCTGAGCTAAGAATCACCTTGGGATGATAGTAGCAGGTGTTCAGCAATTAGAAGTTTACCCTTCCCTACAAATATGTCATAAAAACTGTAATAACTCTTACTATAGGCAAGGTCCCTAATTTAAATTACTTAAGAGAGAGGTAAAAATTGCTCATGAGCTTGCAGGGCCTTGATTCCCTCAACTCAAAATAATTCACATGCCAAAGAAACTTACTGGAGAGGCCTGTTCTGAACCCTTACATCAGAGACAGTATAAGGGCTAATCACTTAATACAGGAAGAAAGGAAGGAGGGAAGCTTAACTCACCACACACTGGAGTATGAGCCAGGTGCATGCAAGCCCTGGCCCTCACCCTTCATAAACATGAGCCCTCTCTACAGAGGATGGGGTAGTCCCTACCCGACTTATCCAGAGTATGGCTCCTGAGACAAGAACATAAAAGTGGCCCCAGTCCTACCCTCTCTCAGACCAGTAGTTGATAGTTTCCAACTTGGGTTTGGTGTTCACCCTGGGTATTTTCCAAGTGATGGGGTTTGCTGCCTTCTTTGCGCTGGCCTTAGAGAGCATGGAGGAAGAGGAGGAACCTATGGCCTCTCTCCCGGAACACTTGTCCAGCCTAGGTAATGGTGCAGGCAGGGGCCTGGAATCTGACAAAGCTGAGAAAGCCCTAGAGAGCTCAACCACTGGGTGAGTGGTCCAGGCCTTAGATTTTTGCTTCCCATCGGCTCTTTACCCCTGACTGGTGAACCATCCAGAATAAGTGACTCCAATGTCACTTGAGCAATTTTATTCCTTCTCTTCTGGGCCTTTCTATCCGACACCTAAGCATGACTCCTTGGCCATTAGAGGCGCCTCTGGGGCCATGCTCTGTGCCATCATTCTCTGGCCCTCACCCTTGATTGTAATTTCAATCAATCAGTTTTCTTTTCCAAGGCTCAGTTCCCTGGTCTTTAGAATGGAAACATACACACACACACACACACACACACACACACACACACACACACAAGCATGTGGATGGACTGCAAAGATTGCTATAAGTTAGAGTTCTAACTTATAGCCAGGGGCCTGAATCTAGCCCAATGTCTATTTTTGTAGTTTTACTAGAACATAGTCAAGATGAGCCATATTGGAGGAGCCCATGACCAGACTCTTTCCTCCATCCTGATTTCTCACTTCCCAATAGAAACTTCTGAAGGTGCTGATAATAAAATAATTAAAAAAGCAAACAGAACAGAATCAACGCTCTTATAGTCCATGCAGTTACTTTGAACTTCAGGGAAAATAAAACAGGAACTAACAAAAGTCCGTGTATCTACAACAGTATGTAGTATTGTTCTTAACCATATGGGCCTGTATTCTTCCATTCTAAATTAGGGTTTTGGCTTTGAAAATCCAAAGGTCCATTAAAATCTTCTTCCTAAGACAAGAATAATTTTTCTTCAAGGAGAGGCCACCCTCCAGACTAATTAAATATTCATTAAGTCATTCCTTTGGCAATTATTCAGGGAGTGCTTGCTGTGTGCCAGACAGTGCGGTGGCCTGGGAGCATAATTTATATGAAATCTACTTGTAATGTATAGTAATTTATAGAGTTGTGCAATCATCACCACAATTAAGACTTAGAAAAGCTTCATCACCCCAGATTACCTCTTGCCCATTTGAAGTCAATCTCTGCTCCCACCCCAGACCCAGAGAACACAGTATTGACAAGATGGAACAGGTTCTGCCCTCTCAATGAACAGCCCATGTGGAGAGACACATTAAATAATTAAATGCACAAGTAGACATATAAGTGTGAATTGTGATGAGAACTAGGTGTGGGAGAATAAGAGACTGCGGGCCTCTCCACTGAGGTGGTACCTAAGCTGGCTCCTAGAGGATGGGGCCAAGGAGGGATTACACACTGGAAATGTGCAAAGGCCCTGAGGTGATATGCAGCTTATCATTTCACAGCAATTGCTGACAGTGTAGATGAATCATCTGGGATTGGGGAAGTGGGGAATTGTTCAACATGAAGGCAGGGAGGTGAGTGGGGAGCAGGTCATGCAAGGGCCTTGTAGGATCTGGGTCAATGTGAGGGTTTCAAAGTGTTTTAAATAGGAGAGCAGCATGGCCTATTTGTGATTTTAGAAAAATTACTGTGGCTACTCTTGGAAAATAGAGGTATTATGTTAAAAGTGGAAGTGGGGAGGCCAGTAGGAAGAATATCAAAATGGTCCGGACAAGAGATGACAGTGATGGTGAACAAAGAGAATGGATTTTTTTTTTAAATAGTTGGGTTAATACACCCCTACCAAATGGCTAAAGTGAAAGAAAGTGGTAGAACTAAAGGCTGACAAGGATGAAGAGAAACTGGAGCATTCATACATTGCTGGTGGTAATATAAAATGATACAGCTACTCTGGAAAACAGTTTGGCAGTTCCTTTAAAATCTAAAAACAGACTTATCATATGCGTCAGCAATTGAACTCTTAGGCATTTATCCCTGAGAAACAAAGACTTATATTCACATAGGAACCTGTGCCCAAATTTTCACAGAGGCTTCATTTAAAATAGCAAAAAGATATTTGGCCACTCCTAAGAATCTACCCAAGAGAAATGAAAATATATGTCCACATAAACACCTGTACTTGAATGTTCATAGCAGCATTATTCATATTAGCCAAAACTAGAAACAATCTTAATATTCATCAATGGGTGAATGGAAAAATAAAGGCAGTATATATCCATTCAATGGAATACTACTTAACAATAAAAAAATAAACGAACTACTAATATATACAACAACATGGATGAATTCCAAAACATGCTAACTGAAATATGCCAGATACAAGAAACATATACATATGATTTCATTTATATGAAATATCTTGAAGAATCCAAGATGGCTACACAGGTAAACACCTAGTGGCAGCCGCACACAACAATTTCAATAAAATACAACTAAAATATAAAATGGACATTACCCAGAACTACAGGAAAGTCAACTGACTGGAAATTCTACAATGAGAAGCAAGGAAAAAACCAGAAGGAAGAGCGGAGGAGCTGTAAAAGCCTAAGGTATGGAGACACGCAGTGGGTGCTGAGAGGACGGAGCAGGAGAGGAGGGGCGGCTGAGTGCCTGGCTGGTGTTCCCTGGCGGGAAGGAGATAAAAGCTTTGACTGTGCTGGGCCCCAGTTCCGACTGTTCTGAACCCCAGTTTTAGGCCAGACCCCGGGGACCCAGGCTCATCCATAGGGAGCTGGGCTGTAAGGCGGAACTGCGGGGGAGTGGCGAAAGGAGGTCCCGGAGGCGCGCACATTGCGCGCAGAGAAGGGACGGTTGGCTGTGCCGCGGGATTGCCCTGGCAGGAAGGAGACAAAAGCTCCAGACTGCTCTGAACGCCACCTCCAACTCCACTTCCAACTGAACTGAACCCCAGTTCCGGGCTCATTGGGGGAGAGCCTAGACCAGGTATCGGCAACCTACGTGCAGCTCTTTTGAAGCTTTGCTGCGGCTCTGACAGCAGGGCCGATAGTGGGGGGTGGGAGGGAGCTGTATCACTTACCTCCGCCAGCACTCTGTGTGACAGGTTGCCGGCGACTTAGCCTCACTAGGCAACCACAGCGTCCCTGTCCTAGCCCAGCCTCCTCCCTCACATCACAGCGTGTGATGTCACTGAGGGCACGCTGAGCGTGCACCTCTGTGCTGGGGAGGAGGAGACTGCTGCAAGGGGAAAGAGAGGTGCTGACAGAGGGGACACTGAAAAATAATAAGAAGAAAAAAAGCAATAAAGAGAAAAAAAGGGAGAAGGAAAAAGAAGAAGACAGAGAGGACAGAGAGGACTGAAGAAAGAGAAAGAGAGGGCTTGCAGTGTGATTGTCACTGGGAGTCGGGCCTGTACAGTGAGTGGAGAACAAGAGCCTGAAAGAGAAAAAACAGCAGCCAGGTAAAAAAAAAATTAACAGATACTAATTTTTGTTGTTGGTTAAGCATGGGAGACAGGTCCTTTTGTAAGGTGTACACTGTAGGAAATTTGTGGCTATTATATAAAAAATTATTTTTTAAATAAATAAATAAATAAAATTATTATTTACATTTTTTATTTAATTAATTTAATTTAATTTATAGAATATTGGGGGGCCTGATGAATTTTTTTTTAAAGGTGACTTGTTAATTTAATGTTTATTTCTATGAGGAGGAGTAATTCTGAGGGGGTCAAACAAAGAAATGATAAAAAAAAAAAGTGACAAAAATTATTTTTATGATGAGGAAGAGTAATTCTGAGGGGTTCGGGAAAAGAAATAATAGTAAAAAGGTGAGAAAAAATATTTTTATGATGAGGAGAGCTTCTTAAGGGGGTCAGGAAAAGAAATTATTACCAAAAAGTGACAAAAAAGTTATTTTTATAATGATGAGGATGACATTGGGCCCTCATTATTAATTATTATTTACATCAGGCACTGATTATGATTTATGGTACACTGGGGCCCTGATTAATTTTGTGATTTCTTATTACGTCCCTGTTTTCGACCCCCTAGTAGGCCAGCCATGGATAAAGGCGAGAAGAGAAAATTTTCTGAAGAAAACAGAGTGTTTAATGATACATGGACTGAATCATTTGCTTTCTCTACTGACGAGACTGGTTTATCAGTATGCTTAATATGTGGTGAGAAATTTGCAAACCACAAAAAGTTGAATGTTGCAAGACATTTCCAGAATAAACACACAGCCTTTGCTGAAAAATATCCAGATGGAGATGAGAGATGAAAAGCCGTTGCAGAACTTATGAGGAAGGTTGATAGGAGCAAAAATAATTTCAAGAAGTGGGTGAAGTCTGCAAATTCCACAACATATGCTAGTTTTGTGGCCACTCAGAAAATAGTCAAGCACGGGAATCCATTCACAGATGGAGAGTATACAAAAGAAGCATTCATTAAGGTTTCAGAACATCTATACAAGGACTTCAAAAACAAGAATGAAATTGTGCAGAAAATTAAAGACATGCCTCTTTCTGCGAAGACTGTCAAAGACAGAACCCTAAAAATGGCAGAAAACATTAGCAAACAGCAAATTCAAGACATCAATTCACCTGTGGCGTACTCCATCGCCTGTGATAAGTCCAAAGATAAAGGTGATATTGTACAAATAGCGCTGTTCTGCTGATATGTGATCTCTTTTGGGCCACAGGAAGAACTGATTGAGCTGATACCACTAAAAGACCAAACAAGGGGTGAGGATATCTGTAAGGCTGTCCTGGACTATTTAAGTGCTGAAAAAATAAACACCAACCACCTGGTCTCAGTGGCTACTGATGGGGCACCGAGCATGAGAGGAGCACAGAAAGGCTTTGTGGCTCTACTGCAGAAAGCTCTGGGTATAACGCTGCTGTCATTTCATTGCATCCTGCACCAAGAGGTATTGTGTGCTCAAACATTTCCCCCGGAATGCACAAAAGTGGTGGATGTGGTCATTCAGATTGTTAATAAGATAATGGCAGAGGGTTTAAACCACTGCCAGTTCCGTTTGCTATTGGATGAGGTGGAAAGCATATATTCTGACCTCCGCTCCACAACAAGGTCCAGTGGTTGTCCAGAGGTGAGGTGCTAAAACGCTTTGTCGCATGTTTGGAAGAAGTAAAAACTTTCCTGGCCAGCAAAGAGCTCACCTTTGCTGAGCTGGAACAACCAGAGTGGCTGGAAAAATTACATTTTTTGGTAGACATGACAGCACATCTAAACACACTAAATACAACCCTTCAGGGGAAAGGAGGCACAACCCTGCACATGCTGGAGGAGGTTTTGGCATTCGAGCACAAGTTGACAGTGTTTGTCAAAGATTTACAGAGAGGTACACTGTCACTTTCCCTCTTTGAGAGAGTTCAAACAAAGTCATGATATGATAAATTTGGAATATTTGAAGTCTGCAATCACCACAATGCAAAGTTCGTTTGGGGAACGATTCTGTGAGTTCAGAGAGGAAAAAACCACATTATCCTTCCCTGTCACTCCCCTGGCGATTGATCCATCCCTATTGAATATGACTGCATTTGCAGGTGTAAGTCAACCTGATCTTGAGATGGAACTGGCCGATATAGCCGACAAAGATATATGGGTGTCCAAGTTCAAGTGCTTGACTGCTACTATTGAGGATGTTGCCCGTCAGAAGGCCATTCTGGCTCAGAATCATAAATGGAGTGATATTGAAAACCTTCCCAAACAGAACAAACTTGTATTCGAAACATGGAATGCCATCCCCAACACTTATATAAACATGAAAAAGAACGCATTTGGAGTCCTGTCGATCTTCAGCTCCACATATGTATGTGAGCAGGTCTTCTCCAACATGACTATATTGGTCATGCCTCACAGATGACAACTTGCAAGCCTGTGTGAAAATGAAGGTAATGTCTTACAGCCCTGATGTGCAGACACTGTGCACTGAGGTTCAGGAGCAAAAATCCCATTAACCAGGTAAATTAAATATTTTAATTAGCTATTAATTTGCAAAAATATATTTTACATTGTTAAGTGAAAAAGGCCTTTTTTTCATCAGATTGACAGCTAACTGCACGATCCAGTATATAGCATTAAGGTAAGAAACAATATATGCAGTGTTATATTTGTTTTAAATGTCGCAATGATTTTGTGGCTCCCTCCCAGGTGTTTCCTTCGGAAACAGGTCCAAGTGGCTCTTTATGTCTTAAAGGTTGCAGACCCCTGGCCTACACTGTTTGGTAGCAGGCGAAAATCGAGGGCACCTTTCTCTCAGAGGTGCTTGCAACGAGTACTGAAGACTGGGGATTCTGAGACCCTGGGGATTACTGAGACTCAGGAACCGCATAGGGCGGGGCTGACAGAAGCCAAGGCTGTAGGCTCCATCCTGAAACCCCGCCCCATCAGGGAAGCTGCGAAAATGCTGAGACAATGAAATAGATCACAAACGAAAGAAATGGAGGACAAAAAGTGACTGGATATAGAGTTCAAATCTACGCTTATAAGGTTTTTCAAGAATTTCCTAGAAAAGGTCGATAAGACCTATGAGGATATGAAAAGGGATCAACTAAAATTAATAAGGAATCAATAAGAAATGATAAAAGATCAATAAGAAATAAAGAATACATTGTCTGAAATAAAATATATTATACAGAGTCCTAAAAACAGAATGGAAGATCGCAAGAATCAAGTCAAAGATTTGGAACATAAAGAGCCAGAAGACACTTCTCTGCAGAAGCTAGAATGCAAGAGAATCCAGAAAATTGAAGATAACGTAAGAAACCTCTGGGACAACTTCAAGCGAACCAACATCAGAATTATGGGGGTCCCAGAAGATGAGAGAGAGCAAGATATCGAAAACATACTGAAAGAAATAGTGACAGGAAACTTCCCCTACCTGGTGAAAGAATTAGACTTATAAGTCCAGGAAGCACACAGAACTCCAAACAAAAGGAATCCAAAGAGGACTACACCAAGACAAATCATAATTAAAATTCCAAGAGCAAAAGACAAAGAGAGAATATTAAAAGCAGCAAGAGCAAAGCAGGTAGTTACCTATAAAGGAGTACCTATACGGTTGTCAGCTGATTTCTCAACAGAAACCATGCAGGCCAGACGGGAATGGCAAGAAATATTCAAGGTGATGAATAGTAAGAACCTACAGCCAAAGATAATCTACCCAGCAAAGCTATCACTCAGAATCGAAGGCCAGATAAAGAGCTTCACTAATAAAAAAGAAGCTAAAGGAGTTCATCACCACCAAACCAGAATTATATGAATTGCTGAAGGGGGTTCTTTAGGAAGAGAAAGTAAATAAAGATAAAAATTATAAACAACAAATACGTAACTGTCAACAAGTGAATCTAAAAACCAAGGAAATTAAGAAAAAATCTGATGAACAATATTAACTGTTGAATATAATAGAATCAGAGGTATGGAAGGGGAGTGAACTGACAATTCTTGGGGAAAAGGGAAGAGGGGGATGTGGGAAGAGACTGAACATAAACTGTGCACCTATGGATGAGGACAATGGGGGGTGGGGAAAAGGGAAGAGGGGGATGTGGGAAGAGACTGAACATAAACTGTGCACCTATGGATGAGGACAATGGGGGGTGGGGAAAAGGCAGAGGGTGGGGTGGGAACCTGGTGGAGGAGAGCAATGGAGGGGGGGAGAAAAAGAACATTTGTAATAATATGAACAATAAAAATTTATTAAAAAAGAAAAAAAGAAATATCTTGAAAAGGAAAAGCTATAGAGGCAGAAAGCAAATGAATGGGGCTGAGAGTGGGAATAGAGTGAGAGTAAGGACTGATTTCAATGGGACATGAGAGATCCTTCCGAGAGTGATGAAAATGTTCTAAAATTGGATTGTTTAAAATGTACTAAAATCATTGAATTGTAGATTTCCAATGGGTGAATTTATGAAAATTATATCTCAATAATGTTGTCTAAAAAAAAAAAAAGATACTGGAATTAGACATGACAGGACTTTGAAATACTATTTACCCTCATTCTTCCATCCTTTTGAAAGTGTTATGATCCATCTTAGGAAAGTGTTTGGATCTTTCCAGGAGTGCAAGGAAGATGGCATCCAGGAGTGAGATGCCATCTTCAAAGAGGAAAGGTATTCATTTTCAGTACCAGGGCAATTCCCCACATGAAGAAAAAAGAATGGAGTTCTGGGCCCTGGAATAGCATGGGTAGAGCATGGAGGGCAGTGTTGGGTAATGGCTCCTACAAGGGAGGAATTGTGAATCCTAGCTGTACCTGGTTGCAAATGTACAGCCTGAATCTACTGCCCATGGGGTAACTATCCTTGTGTTCTTGCTTTCACAGACCCCTCTGCCCTGTTCCAAGTACGAAGAAACAGCAGAAAGGATATCTACCAGCCACCTCTGGCTGCCAACATTGAGAAGAAGAAAACCACCTACCTCAAGGAACAGAAAGTGTTTGCTCTAATCAGAGAAATCTTGGGTAGGCAGCCAAGATTACCCATGAGCAATATTTCCACTTGGTTGGTTCTCAACACAGTCTTGAAAAGGAACTTTGCAACCTCTGATGAGCCCCACACTGCACCTTGGACATTTTTCCAAGATTTTAGCTCACTCCAGCTTCTGCCCGACACTTAAAATTTTTTCATTGGCCCTTCGGATCAAACTCTCCACTGTGGCTCCATCCATAGAAGGTCACGTCTCTCAGCCCCTTGTACCCTGAGTTCCAGTGACACAGGATTCTATAGCTCCTGGGACACCGTGCCCACTCCCAACCCCAGGCCTTTGCCCAGACTATTCCACCTAGTCTGCTGGAATGTGCTTATCCCTCTTCCCTACCTTTTCCTCTGGCTAAGTCCTCTTATTCTTTCATTTTCAGCCCAAAGACTATTATATCTTCAGATAGGCTTCCTCTGACCAAAAGCTTTAAAGCCTATATGTATTTCTTAGTCTGTGTTCCCCACAGCGGGTTTGGGTATATATAGTTGGTTTGGGAGGTGGATCATAGGGATCATTGGTAGGGAAGAGGAAAGTGCAGGGGGAGAGAAGAAAGCCAACGGAAAGTGGGGTGATGAGTGGTTTCCGTGTGGATAACTGGGGCTCAGTCCTGCCACACCAAATATATGACAAAAACTCTACTGTCTCTAAAAGCCCCTGTCCATAAAAATGTCTCAGTATCAATAGAATTCTTTGAGCTCAAAAATTATCAAAGTACTTTTATTTTTATTTAAGTTGATTGTAAACCTTATGCAGAACAGTTATTTAAAAAACTTAAAGATGGTTTAGCTCTTGAAGGGGTCTGTAAAAGATGACACGGGAGCTAAATGCAGCCCTCCACCTGCTTTTGTAAGTTACGTTTATTGGAACACCACCTCATTCATCCCCTTATGTGTTATCTATGGCTGCTTTCCTGCTAAACCAGGTTAAGTCACTGGGACGGAAACTGGCCCACAGGGCCTCAAATATGTGCCATCTGGCCTTTTACATTAAAAGTCTGTCTAGTTGTGCTTAGAGAACAAAGCCTGAGTTCTAGGAAGAGAAAATGGTGAGTCTGTTTTAGGTCGCACGTGACTGAGATCATTGGCAGCCAGTGTGACTGTTGTACCAACACTGTCCCCACGCTAGCCATGCTTTATGATTCCTTACAATTATCTAAACATGTTTTTTTGTTTTGTTTTGTTTTGTTTTTACATCCACACAGACTGGTTTCTTGCTTAGATGATTAATAAAACAATTTTACAACAAGAAAGTACTCTTTTTATATGGAGTGTCAGAAAACAAAAGAAATCTGCCACTTTTGATAGAAACCTGAGTATAGTTAAGTTTGGCATTATAGGAAACCCTCCGTTGTATTTTGATTAGTCAAATAACCAAAGTTTGTGTTTATTTCAGAAACTTGCAAATTTTGTTTACTTGTTGAAATAGATAAACCATTTTGTAGTTAGGTCCTAAATTTTAAAAGTACTTTTTAAGACCAAATTATATGCTTCAAATTCATAGTCTCCCTTTAACCCAATGGTTCTCAGGCCTAGCTCTTCACCAGAATCACTCAGGGGAATGATTCAACCCTGATGTCCAGGCCTACTAAATCAGGATGTCTGGGGACAGAGTCCCAGTACAGTATTTTTAATATTTTCCTGTTTTGTTGTTTTGTTTTGTTTTTCCTAAAATGTAGATGAGTTTGAGCCCACTGCGTTAATTAGAACTAATTGCCATCACAAAGGAGGGCTTACATGGTTATTATTTCCACATATATGAACAATTAGATGACACGAGCGAAGGTTGGGTATTTTAAAAGGTGTGTGAGCGGGAGAAAGGAGGGAGAGAAGAGACAAGGTGCCGGTGCTGCAGGAGCCAAAGGAGGAAGCCACCATCCATACAAACCACCCCAGTCTGCTCAAAGAAGGGAGGAAAGTTCTAACCACATTCTAACCTGGCTGGGAGTTGTAGCCCCACCCCACGCCAACCTGGGAGTCAACCTTGCCCCCAGGACCTTGGAGTCTTCTCTTCTGATTGTAATGTATAAAACAAGATGGAAAAAACCATCATTCTCAGGAGCATCACCCTCAGTGCTTTGAGATTTTGCTTCCTGGCAATTGTTGACAATTTGGCTCAAATAAAAATTATTTACAGGTTTGAATGTTTCTTATGTTAACACTAGATTACTTTAAAAAGCCATCTTCTGCCGAAACCAGTTTGGCTCAATAGATAGAGTGTTGGCCTGCAGACTGAAGGGTCCCGGGTTCGATTCCGGTCAAGGGCATGTACCTTGGTTGCAGACACGTCCCCAGTAGGGGGTGTGCAGGAGGCAGCTGGTCGATGATTCTCTCTCATCGATGTTTTGCTCTATCACTCTCTCTTCCTCTCTGTAAAAAATCAATAAAATATATTTAAAAAAATAAATAAAAAGCCATCTTCTTAACTGGGGGAATTAAAGTTTTACTAGCCTACGTATGTTTGTTTAATATTTTTTGTCACTTTGAATGAATAGTGTAATACTGTTTTATAATAATAGTAATGATATATGATCTTTTGGTAAAATAAGTTGGACAATTTTGCCAGGGTTTAAAATTTTAAGAAAGTTTTATTTTATTTTATTTTAAATATATGTTTTAATGATTTTAAAGAGGAAGAGAGAGATAGAAGCATCAATGATGTGCCGGAGGCTAAAGCAAAGGGCAGTTAGCATAAAAGTGCAGAAGAGACATTGGAAGGCCAATGGACTTTGATATTCAGGAGGGCTGAATACCAGCACGACCAAATAAATTCCTGGAAATGGGGGCAGGCTGCCAGGAAATTCCAAAAACAGACAGGCTGGGAGGTCACAGATCAGTGGGGGAGGGACTGAGGACTTTAAGAAAAAGGGTTGTGTTGACCACAAGTCTGAGCAACTGATTGGGCACAGCTGACAAACAGCTGTGACTAGAAATTCGTGGGGAGCGGGGGGGAATAGAGGAGGGAGGTCCCCTCAGCCAGCCTGCCTCCTCTGGCAGCCTGGGAGCCCTCAGGGGATGTCCAACATCCTTAGTGCTGCTGAGGAGGCTGGAGAGGCTCAGGGCTTTGGGTTGAGGGGCTCCCCCTGTGGGAGCAGACTGACCACCAGGGGGCAGCTTCTGCATTGAGCTTCTGACCCCTGGTGGTCAGTGCACATCATAGGAACCAGTCATTTGCCATCCAGTCAATTTGCATATTAGCCTTTTATTATATAGGATACCCTAGAAATCTATGTGACCTTATTAACCAATGTCACTCCAATAAATTTGATTTAAAAACTATAGTTATGTCAGCAAGCACTTGGCCAATGCCCAACAACCATCTTCTCCTGTAATGATTCTGTTTGGACTTGTCTGAATTCAACTCTGCCTGCCCTCCAACCTCCATAAGGAGGGCAGGACCGCATCCTTTAACAGGACTGGGTGTACCCTGCATTCCCTGGGTCTCTTGGGCCCAACAGTTAGGGGATGCCTACAACCCGCCTATGCGCCCAGGACCCACGTGAGTTGCGGAAAAGGGATTTGCTGATCTATCACTTTAACTCGCCTGGAAGCAAGGTCCAGAGGTGGAGCCCCACGCCTGCTGGGGTGGTCCCCGCTCCACAGCCCAGCAGCTGGCCCAGCTGGTCCCCGCCCCTTCGCACTTGTACTCTTCCCTCCCCTGCTGCCCCTTCCAGGCTAGAGGACCTTCAGCAAGTTCACGCCCTGCGCGTCACCCTATCCAAACCCCGCCCCCTGCAATTCCAGGCCCCGCCCCCTGCACTTGCAGGCTCCGCCCCCGCGTGCTGGCCACCTTCGCTCCTGGGCTGCCCCTGCTCCCGCCTCCACCCGCTGGGGCGGCCTTGGAGCTGCGCTGCGAGTCCTCCAGCGAACATGGCGCTCCGAGCCGCACGGACCGTGCGGGCCGCGGCCTGCAGCCTGCGCGCCGCGTGGGCGCCCGCTACGCCCTGCCCGCCGCGGCCCTGGGGCCTGAGGGCGGGCGCCATCCGGACGCTGCGCACCGGTCCCAGTCTGCTGTTGGGTAAGCACGAGTGGGCACGTGGGTTAAGCGGGGCTGCTTCGGGGTGGGGTTGAGCCGGGACGCCTCCCTTCCCCGCCCTGATCCTTACATCAAGTTCCGGGTGCTGATCTCACGGGTCGAGCCGAGCGACTTGCACTTATTTTATCGCTGGGATCTCTAACTGTGCAGCCCCTCCTCCCCTCCCTAAGTGGCGCGGCCGACGCCGCAGCCTTTGTCCTGCAGGTTAGGGGGGTGGGGGTGGGGGGGTGCGGGGTGTTGGAGCCCGCTAGATCACCCCGTCCTGGCCGGGAGTCTGCCGCTAGCTCCTGGAGAATCAGGCTAGTGGCCCTAAGCTTCTTCGTGACCTTAGGTTATCACTCACTTGTGGACCCTAAAAGTGGAGACAAATAATAGGCGTTTAGTTTGCTCCACGGATCATATCAATGAGAACTCTAAGTAAAGGCAAAGCAAGAGCACTTATTGAAGTGAAAGCACTGGATCTAGATTTTTACTAGTTATAGCAAGCAAAACTTTGAGTCAGTTTCCCTCATCAGGAAAATGGAAATGATAGTCTTACTTCACAGAGTTGTTAGGAGGGTGAAATAATAGTAATATAACTGTTGTACATAATGCCTGGCACATAGTAAGTACTTGATGTTATTACATTTTAGTTCATAGGATCAAAAAGCAAAAAATGGACCGATATTAATGTATTTTGTCTGCCTAGTGACTTTGAAAGAAGGGAAATACAAACCTTACTTAGATTACTCAAAACACCTAATTATGTGAGGCTCAAAGCTCAGTAAGAAAGTAATTATTTACATAATCTCCTGTCCACTTTTTTCCTGTGGTGCCAAGGGTTAAAGAATTGTACTAATCATTGAACCTAAATGGCCTGGTCTAGAAAAAAGGCTTAAATGGACTTAAAGTCAAGTGGACGTTGGCACATTTATTTAGCTTCGCAATGCGGCTGCCTCTTCCTCTAAACTTTTGCTTGTTCAAGTTACTAAATTGAATGTGAGAGCCATCTTAAGATTATCTTTACAATAGGTAAGATGGCAAGGCCAAAACCAGGACAATGGTCTCAGAGAAGGCATATTTATAGTTCTACAGCCTTTTAAAAAGTATGTTAGTTTTTTATACTC